AGGCCTGTTTTATTGCGCGGGCCTGCCTCCTGCTCTCCCCTCACCTGCACTCACAAGGGTGCCCCACCCCGCTCCAGCATGGGCTCCCTCCCAGTCAGAGGAGGAAACAGGGAGAGTCCCAGTACACCTGCCCAGACATGAACACCGGAGCAAGAGCTTCCTTCTCCAGTCTGAGCTTCCCAGAACCGCAGGGTGTGATTTCACTCTTTGGGCTTTCGGCCAGTGCACTTTTAAGGAACAACGAATTCCAACAGAAAGTCTGCATCTGGCCTTGGAGCACTACCCTGGGAGTCAGGAGTCCTGGATGCTGGACCAGCCCTGCCATAACTTGTTCCAGTTGTGGACAACTCAGGAAGTTAAGAGCATGGGCCTTCCAGTCAGACTGCCTGGTTTTGAACCCCTAAAAGTCATTTAGTCTCAGGCCTCAGTTTCCTCACCTGTATGAACGGGGATCATAGAATTACTTACTTCATAGGGCTGCTATGATGATTGAAGAGATAATACGGTGCCTGGCACAGTGCTTAACCTCATGGGAAATATGCTAACCTCTCTGGCCTTCTGTTTTCTCATCTGTAAAAATAGAGATAAAGTATATATCTCTTGAAGGCATTGGCTAGTGTTACTTACCTTTATTCCAGCACCTACAGAATGCTGCTACCTTGGACTCCAATAGATCTAAATTTGAATCCTGGTGCTCACTAGCTATATGCTCTTGGTCACTTACTACTTAACCAATCTGAGACTCAGTTTCCTCCACACAGGGACCTTGGCAGGAATGACTGAAATATATGCATGTAAAAAAAAATGGATTGATTGACCCTTCAACTGGCAGAGAGGACATGCGATTCTTCACTTAGGAGAGCTCAAGTCCTCATTGCCAATGGTGATGACGCTGGTCACCATCACCAGCGTCATCACTATTGGCAATGAGGACTTGAGCTCTCCTAAGACCCCATTTTTCTGCTGCTGCCCATGGACAGCAGAGTCAGAGCCCTGTGGGACAGTTCCCAGAGATGTCCCTACCAGATCCAGCCTGGCCTCTGACTGGTGGTGTGCCCCGTATAGCCTAGAGTTCAGACTTAGAGGGTCTCCAAGGCCTGCCATCACTGGCCATGGCCTTACAGAGCTGCAGCATGAGGCAGGGCCTCCCGAGGAAGGCCCCAGTAGTGCTCACCCAAATGCATTTGTCTTTAAAACTTCGGTGTTAATAGAAAAGCCACAAACTGCCCAGATTCAGGGATTTTCTCACGAATCTCACTGTGCCCTCAGAATGGGCTACTGGCTGGCAAGAAACTCAAGTAAGAAGGCACCTCACCTGAAATATCTAGCTTCCTTTTCAAAAGCATCATATCCCAGGAATTCTTTCATCACAGGCCACCCACACTGTCAGCTTCATCACCCCCTCTAGTCTGTGGAGGAACTTGAAGTTCTTCATTGAGATTAGAAGCCCTCAAGAAACTGAAAGTGTAGATGACCTTGTGCAATTTGCTTCCCCTCTGGAAGGCTATTTCCCTCCATGTAAAATGAAAGAGCCGGGCTAAATGACCGTCAACTAAACACTCCAGCCCAAATATGATGACAATTTATAGGTATCAGCCAAAACCTAGCAGCTTTTGTGTACTGAGCATATATACCAGACACCCGAGTCTGTATCATCTCAGTTTGTTTTTGACAACCCTACGTAGTCGATATTGTGCTGCTCATTTTATGACTTAGGAAACTAAGGCTTAAAAAGAGTGAAAGTGATTAGCCCAAGACCAAGCAGTTAGAGGAATGCTGAGATATGAACCCAGGTCTGTGCACCGTCCAAGGCACAGTCCCTTGGAAAGACGGAGAAAAACTTTACACCAGCTAACCACTCCCAGGAAGCTGGAACAGAGGCACCTATCTTAGTTTATGACTTTCAAGTGAAAGATAACAATAATGCCAAGCTTGGACTTCATGTGGCTCAACTCCTATCTTCTTTGCCTTTTTATTGGCCTTGCCTCTCCCGAGATTAGTGAAAGTCTGCCCTGCACGTGCTCCAGGTAAAGCCCAAACTCCTGAAGGCTCCACAAAAATGGCGACAGCCAAATGAACCTATTTGACTTGAATAGTAGAGTCACTACTGACAAATGCTTAGAAGTAAGAACATCAGCATTTTCTCCCTTCTGGTAATAGGAGAATGCTTTATTCAGATACTACGACCATGGTTCTCAAACTCTGGAGGGCATGACAGTCACCTGGGCCCTGTCGCTAAAGGTTGTTCCTGTGGTGGGCCCAGGTATCTGCATTTAATAGGCTCCCTTCAATGACTGCTGCAGGAAACTGCCCATTAGTCAGCAGATGTTTAATGAGCACCTATATGTCATAAGTGCCATGGATAAATCGGTGAATACAACAGCTACTATCCCTGCCCACGTGCTATTCAACACAACTGCTTAGTAAATTTTTGTTGAATGAATGAGGGAGATAGGACATAGGTATTGGTAATCACTGAGGTTTCCTGCCAGACACCCACAACTCTGTGATTCTATGACCTAGGCCAAGGAGCCAGACACGCACACATTTCCCCGCTTCTTTCCAGGAGGCAGGAACTCAAGCCAAGAAAAACTAAAAAGGCACCTGTTTTGTGTTAATTCGGAAAGCCATCTCCACCTTCCATTGAATGATAGGACTTTAGAACTGTGGAGGGCAGTGGAGAGCATGTTATTCACTGGCTTCACTGTCCAGGTAAAAGAATGCAGAATAATAAAGCAGGGTGGGGATAGAAACAAATTGTTTCCTCATCTGCCTATAGAGCAAAAGGTCCTAGACATGGCCCTGCTTATGCCCATAGGTATATATTATATCTGCTACTGCCAATGATGATAATTACACACACACACACACACACACGCACACACACACACACACACACACACACACACACACAGACATGGCACTAAAGACTTGAGCTCTCCTTAGGCTTCACTTTTCTGCTGCTGCCCATGGACATCAGAGTTGTAGCCCTGAGGGACAGTTCCCAGAGATGTTCCTACAAGATCCAGCCTGACCTCTGACTGGTGTTGTGCTCCTTAGAACCTAGAGGCCAGCTTTGGAGAGTCCCCAAGGGCTGCCATCTCCAGTGCTGTGTGTGTATGTACATGTATGTGTTATATATATATATACTTTGATTCAGTAAATAGTTTTAGAATCTGCTGCATGCCAGATACTTGTGCTACAGGCCTACAAGCAATAACCATGAGACAGTCTTTGCTCCTGTGTAACTCACAGCTCTGATCTGCACAATGTGCAGGGGAGAGATGAGTCAACATGCAACTTGCTAGGCTGGAATAAGTTCTTCAGTGGAGGACATTGGGAGGCTGGAGACTGGAGGGGATGAGGGACCAGTTAGGAGCTGGGAGAAGAGCCCAAGGGAGAAGCAGAGTCCTGAGCCAAGACAAGGAAAGGCGGAGAGAGATGGAGGAGCAGGTAAGTTAGAGCCATCTTTTAGAGTGGGAATCAGTAGGCTTGGATCACAGGTCAGAAGTCTTGGGGGAATTAAAGGGAAGGATCAGGACACTCAGGTTCTGATGTCAATGGATGATGAGTTTTGGAGGAGAGGAAACATGGGGGGACGTTTCTTAAGAGGGTGTTCAAATGACTGTGAGACATCTGAGTGGAGACACACAGGGAGAACACACTCTTGCCAAGCAAAAAACTGGAAATAATCTCAACATC